GGGCTGGGGCCCAAGACAGAGCCACAATCTGCCTGTGCACATAGAACTGGTACCTGTTGTGGGGTCTTGCGGGCACTCAGCCCTATGCTATCACTGCCCTGTAGGGTGACCACCCATCCTAATTGGGTGGGACAGTCCTGAAATGGGAACATCAAGTCCCGGTCCTGGGCTGCATGACTCTGGGACAGCATTTGTCCCAGATTTGCAGTGTTGTACAGGAATCCAGGTTTGGGAACTGTGGATTTCCCCTTGCAGGCTGCTTGGGGCTGCTGGGAGTGAGATGCAGGGGATGCCATGTGCATGTGCATGCCTGCACACATGCACATGATGGGGAATACAGCCAGGCAGCGTGGAGAGCAGCTCCCTGCAGGTAAGTCTATAATAGAGAGGTTGCAGAGAGGAGGGGAGGGAGGCAGATTGAGGCCTCCATGGTGAGGGAGGGAGTGGGGCAGGGCCTGATGGAATTTCCCAGCTAGGGCAGTGCATGGGCGCTGGGGACGGGAGTGGGACAGAGCCATGGGAGGCTTGTCCAGGTGGCAGGGGGGTTGTGGTTCCCTGCCACTGTGTGCACTCCCAGGAGAGCATGGGGGAACACATGACCCCCTCAGATTTGTGTATGGGGTGGGGGCAGATGTGGGCTGCCTGCTACATGCTCAGGGCTCCCCACCTTGCTGCCCTCCTCCCCAGGAGCCCTGCGCTGGCTGCACTGTCATGGTGAGGTTTCCCCTGCCTGCCCAGCAGCAGTGGGGGAGGCGACATGGAGTTGTGCCCCATGCTGCTGCTGCTAGGTGGGCAGGGGCAGCTGCAGGGATCCTGGGGGGAAGACAGCAGGCTGGGAAGCCTCAAACCCACAGTGGTCAGCCTGCATCCGAGGGACCCACCACGGGCCGAACAAAAATCCTTGGCAGGATGGATCTGGCCCACAGGCCATTTTTTGCCAACCCAGCCCCTGTTTGATGCTGCACAAGGACCCCTTCCCTCCCCTTTGGGTTGCACACCCCATTATCCTGGGCTCCACCCTTAATTCACTGCACCTCTGCAAAGGGAGCCTCCACAGCCACAGCAGTAGGATTCACCTCAAGTGAAAGGTATAGAAAGACCCTCAAAGTGAACAGAAACAGAGATTCATAAGGCAGAGATCATACCGGACATGCCCTCCTCTGTGTAAATGCACAGCTGTATTTCCATCACAATGCAGACCTTCAACGGCCAGGGGCTTCCAGATCTGGCACTACCATTGGGTCAGCTTGCCTACACTACAAAGACTTTCCAGCATAGCCAGCTAGCCCAGTCCATCCTGCGGGTGGAGACCCTGGTCACAGCAGCAAGAGGAATTCCTTCATGTAGTTAAACCACCTCCCTGAACATCTATGCTAACAAAAGGGCCTGTTTTCTGGTAAGATGCATCTTACAGGTGGCAGTGCACTGGTGTAGCTGTGGTGGTTGGGGGCAGTGATTTTTTTCTCACCACTAACCAGCATAGAGATCTTAAGACAGGGTTATATTAAGTATTTACAAGGCTTCTGTTACCACAGACTCTGAAAACTGGTGTTTCATGATTATCCTCACTCAGGCCTAGGAAGGCAGGGGGGAGCTATCATCTCTGCCTTCTATACAGGGAAACTGAGGCAAAGAGGAAGTCTGTAGCACTACAGGGACTTGAATTTAACTCTCCTGACCCTAGGGTGCTGTCCCATCCATTGAGCCACCCTGGATGAACAAACAGAAGGCTGGATTTGCCCTAAGATCCAGACACTGTAGGTACTTCAGATGCCTGGTAGGGCTTTGAGCTGGCTTCCACTGTACTGCATGCACATAGCCTACTACATATACTCATCGCATGGGAGCTTGTACAGTAAATCAACCCCAGAGAAGGTACACTTCATTTCAGACCAAGATCTTACTGGCAAATGCCTCTAATCTCAGATGAATGAGTGACCGTAAACTCAATGAAATCCCCAGCATTCAGAAACCCCTGCATGCCCATGTTACTGGGTCTGATGAGGAAAAACAAGAGAAATCAGACAAACAAGGCTGCAATGCAATGGAAAGGGAGAGCTGCCACTGAGATTGTGGCATGAATGCTGCCAGCTGCAGAGGCTTCCATATGTTATAGAGTGAATTATAGACACATCAGCTGGCAGGGACCACTTTGCCCTGCACTTCGAAGAGTCACACTCAGGCTGCAGGGCTCAGTAGTAGGTTTAGTCTTTATTCATTCACCTTCTGAGGAGGTAAGACAGCATGGCAGATAATAGTCCTTGGTAGGACTATCAGCATTGTATAATAATACTTAGCTTAGCATTGTGGGTGGGAGACAGCAAAACACTGTGGGAGAAAAGGACTTCATAACCAGGAAGTCAGGGGCCACTGGGATGCAGAATGGCTGTTACCTCAAACTTGGCATCCACAAAATGGAGTAAGTCAAAATAGTAGCCACTTCAAAAATGTGTCCACCAAAAGTTGGGGTTTGTTGCTGCTTTTACAGATTATGAAGGTGGAACCTTTTAGACTAGCATCTTAGGTCCTGCAGTGGCCAACTGTCTATGTGGCCCAGGTTATTAAACAATTTACTAAATAAGCAATAGAGAAAAATTCCACAAAACAGAGATGAGCAATTGTAAGGGCTTAAGGACCCAGGAGCAATCCATAGCATGGTTTTACAAAGAAGTTTTCTTGGGCAGAGTCCATTGGGGCTTTTTAAGTGTAGGTAGCATTGGTAGGAGACAGACTATGAATTTCAGTACACACCTGTCATAAGACCAGATTTTCAGAAGAGCCCAGTCCCTGGGCTCTGCTATACTTCTCTGAGAAGCCGTCCCTGTGTCTCACAAAATCTTACACTCCACAGCCACAGCATCCAATCTTGACTGGCTCAGGCACCATATAAGCAGTCAACGCTCACTAAAGATTCATCACTGCATCTGCATCCCTAATGAACTGTAGCAAACACATGAGTCCAATGGAAAAGAAATAATGCAGGACACCATGGGCAGATGTTTGGCAAATTTCCATCATTGTGTCAATGGTAGATGGTCTATGGATGTTCTTTATACAATGCAGTCCACACAGTAAAGAAAACAATTAGCTCTGATGACATTTTCTGAAAAGGGCCACAAGCAATACACTGAGGAGCATTTATGTGACTCTTGAGCCTCAGTCAGAGCTTCACTGCTATAACACGTGAAATCTACCCTACACCAAGAGCCTGGGACCTGCGGAGAAGGCACCATTTCAGAGACTGGAAAGTGGTACTTCCACAATGACAGCCTCAGCCCTGTACTGGATCTAGCACAACAACAAGTGCTACCCAAAATGAATGCCAGGTTCAAAATTCAAATTGCTGTGTGTATGAATTCTAGCTCAGAAACCAGGACATGGCTTAAAGGACTCCAAACAAAAAAAGCATCAAGCATGAGCAAAACAACCAAATATCAAGGCAGGGAAATGTTTTGTGTTCAGCCACTTCTTCAGGGTCTGGGTGGAGGGAAGACACTTCCTGATCAGCAGCAGTGATCGTCAGTGAGGTGAACAAGAGGAACAGGAAACCCAGAAAGAAACAAAAGGGATGTTGTACGGGAATGGGCCAACCCCACCAAGGAACAAGAATCTAAAGGGGAAGAAAAAATCTAGCAGGTGATAGGGCTGAAATAGGACTGCAAAAAACAAACTCACAATGGCAGCAAAACATGGACAGTCCAGGCAAGTAGCACACTGTGGAACATGAATGTAGTCTTCTCTCCCTCTCTGACTCCAGACAAGCTGTGTCAGCAGTCTGTTCAGCATCAGGCAGGCCCTGCCAGCAATGCTGCATTTGCACAAGGGGAATCCTGCCCTGTGACTAGGGCTCCTAGACACAATGGTGGTACAAGTAAGTACATTAAAATAGTTTGGCCCAGGGCAGCCCACACCATTGATACCACTTCCTGCTAAGGGCAGACCATGTTGGCAATGCAGCATTCAGCTCCGATCAGGACACAGCCATGCTCAAGGCCTAGAGCTGATTGGAAATTTTTCAATGATACATCTTTTTCTATGGGGAAATGCTGATTTGTTGACACAATTTTCTTCAGGAAGGTTTCTCAGGTCTGGGAAGAAATTTCTTCTGGTCATAGCTGCCCAGAAATAGCTGGGGGTTAGAGCACAGGCACAGGAGATAACTACCCGAATACTGACTGGATCTCCTTCCAGGAAACCACCCAGCTATCATCTCTTTTGGGATGGGATTGTCTCTCTTTTATTAAAAATGTGTTGCAAGGTCCAGTTTTCATTCAACCAAGTGTTGAAACCTCAGCATTTTTGATGACATGGAATTCACACTTACCAGCCAGTCCTATGCAGGATTAAAAAGATGGAGAAAAATGGCATGTATTTACAAGGGCAACCAGACTGCTAAGGAGACAGGAGGCTTGGATATGTAAGGAGTAGCTACATATTGCCTGAGAGCTTTGAGAGCCTACAGACAGAGGACAGGGGTCCATGGCAGAGGCAGAGGAGGTCTTTTAAGCAGGTTCACAGCAGGAGGACTAGGAGGAATGCAATAACATCGATAATGTAGAAGGAGTACCTAAAGACTTTTCCCAATAGCAAAATCTCCAGTTTTGAAATAATTCCCCTCAAGGGGAACCAAGGATAACCTATTCCTTGGGGCTTTAATACAGATGCTCAGACAGTTGCAAGGGATAGTCCTGACCTGAGCAGGAAGCTGGGTTGGATGGCCTCCCTTCCAGCTGGATACGGTCCCTTCCAGCCCTACTTTCCTATGATCCAAAGACTGGACAAAGCCCTAGAGAACTGGACTGTAAGGTCCCAGTCCCAGGAGACAGGCTAGCTGGGATCTAGAAGATCTTTTCCTTCAGTGCCCATCTCTGTACGTTTGGCCAAGGAAGGTGAAGCCAAGTGGCAAACTGGAATGTAAGATGCTGCACTGGTTCCACTGGGGCTGCTGTGCCAGGATGAGGAGTAGCTAAGTAGTCCTTAGGTCTAAGCCCATTTCCTCCTCACGCCGTAAAATCCTGGGTTACCAGGTTGAAGACATTGCTCTCCATGGATGACTGCCACTTGCCCCAGTTCCTCTTGATCTCAGCCTGGACCTGCAAAATCATACCAGGGAATCATGAGAGATCTGTATTGAAAAGAGCTTATAGGCCTTCTCCCCACACTGGGCCCCTTGTGCACCCATGGGAAATGGAGAACAGAACCAGGACTAGGGCCACAGGGAGGTTCAGGATTTGCTGAACTTTATAAAAAGCTTCAGGTAGAGAAGGAGGGGGTGTCAGGGATACATATTACTGCCAGAGTTTGGAAGGGCTTTGTTTACTATCCTTTTAGAGGTGGTTTGGTAAACTAAATAAACTCAGTTGGGTTGCACACCATGACTGGGAATTTCTGTATTCACACAGGCAAGCAGGCGGCCTGCACCAACCAGTCATCTGGGAGCACAGGATGAACTCCAAGTTATAATGGCACAGTCTCTGTGTTGGCTACTGCACTGGGAGTTTAATTTGAATTGACTCCAGCTCTGCTGAGCCTGAGGAGAACTGGGTACAGTGGACATATGTGTGTGAGATTATGGGCATGTTTGTATGGGCACAAAGGTGTATGAGGATTTGCACACATGAATGAATGCAAGTGCTTGTGGTGCACATGGATATGTTTATGTATGTCTGCGTGTACATGGCTGTATATGACCAGGTGTGTGCTCGTGGGTCAATCTGGTAGTAGATGTGTGTATGTATGTGTGAGCATGTGTGCAAACATACACACACAGTAGTGTAGTAGGTGTCACTCACCTCTCCATTCAGAAAGCAGTACAGCAGAGCGACCAGGAACCCCTGAAATATGAACAGAAGGGAAGACATTTAACATAGACAAGATGTGGCTGGACTTCATACTCTTTGACAGCCCCAGATTAGGGTGCTTCCAGGAAGGGAGGTGGGACTCTTCCCTGTAACCCACCTGGCTCAGCTCTGGCTCTGGAAAGCAAAGGAGTTTGGAATCAGCTATCCTGTATACAAATTATGTCCATTAAGCAATGGCAAAGAGGGGTGCTGGGGTGTGGCCTGCAGGAGACCATTGATATTTTGCCTTTAGCTGTTTATTTAACAAGAAGGGCCATCTGGCACAGCCATCACTGATGGAGGAAAGCAATTCTAGGTCCTGCAGATGGGTGCCTTGGGGCACTGTTCTCCTGTGGTTGCCAAGATGGCTGCATTGGAAAACAGTTCTTCCTGTTGTATTCCACACTGGTGGCCAGAAGGGTGGAAAAGAAGCCAGGCCCTCGATCTCAGTGCCTAGGGGCTGAGATCCACAGAATCTTTGGGGTTTGGTGGTTGTGGCACAGTTTAGTGATAAGGGAACTCCCCTGAAAGAAAGGAAGCCTTGGGGACTAGTCCCTGCTCCAGGGACTGTTGGTCCACTACACTGACATGTCATTGGAGAAAATGCATACAGAGCACTAGGAGCAGGGACCAGAACTCAGGACTTCCTTGTTCCACAGGAAAGCCCTCATTACTAGGTGATGCAGTCATGCTTACTCATTCTTCCTCTGAGCCCATGGGACTTGCATCCTCTTCTGACTAGTAGCCCACTTCAGAAGGTCCAGGGTACTATCCAGGCAAGTGGGAGATAAGTGTTTGAATGCCCTCCGGCAGCAAAGGACCTAAAGCTCAGGTCTCCTATTTTATAGGCAAATGCTTTAACTGCTAGACAGTTATCTAGCACCTCCTCCAGCTCTAAATTTTAATGAGGATAGCCATGGCTGCTGGGCTTAGGGCTGGACTCATTGCTGTCAGCTTGCATTTGACATATTCCAGGTTCAGCTACTGAAACAGGCCTCTGGAGATTTGGGTGCAGGGATTCCCAGGGTGTGAACCTCAAGTGGCCTTTTGTGTGGGATAGGTGCTGAGGTGGTCAGCTCTGCTCAGAGGGCAGCACCTTTGGGCATGGGCAGGATATTAAGCACCAAGTACCTTTCCTCATTAAAACTTAGGTGCTACAGCCTCCCAGGTGGCTGAGCAAGGACATGGGTTTGCCATGGATGAATCACTCAGACACAGGTGCCTAAATTCCACCTGAGGTAATCAAATGCTCTTTTGGATCTAATCTCAAATAGATTCCAGAGAGCACCTTGCTTCTCACCCTTATCAGCTTCTGTGAATCTCTACTGGGAGGCTGAGTTTTAACTCCTGTGTCTTCAGCCCCCTCTCCTTCTTGGGAGAGCTGCAAAACAACTGATAAAGTTCACATGGCCCCTATGGTCAGGTGGGCCCAAACCATGGCATGGCCACCAGATCTGGAATAGGCACTGCTGGGTCCTCTTGTTTTCTGATTCTGCAATTGGAAAAGTCCCATGCCTCTTTCTTACCAGACTTCTGCCAGTGAAGCTGTCTGTATGTCACTCCAACCCTGCACCCGGTGACTTGAAGCTCAGGTAAGGTTGTCCTAGCTGGCAGGGAAGGAAGTGCAAGGAAAAGAGGACCAGGAGCCACAGGTTATGAGTTCCCAGCATGTGGCTGGGCCACTGCTGCACTGTATTCCTGTGCACTGCCTTGGCCACATGGGTGAAGCTGGAGTGACTCCTGCCCAACCCAGCCATATGTTGGGGACTCAGGGTGGAGGAGGGTGCGCAGGGAGAACAAGGGGAACAAAATTTAGGTTGCCCTAACCTTTGTTCTCTCTGCCCAGGGGTGGGCAATTATTTGGGCCAGAGGGTCACTTAGGGAGTTTTGGTGAGCTGTTGCAGGGCAGGGCTGGGGGTGGTAGGGGCAGGGGCGGTGCTGACCCGGCCCATGACAGCTCAACCAACTCAACTGAAATGGCCCTCTGGCCCAAATAATTGCCCACCACTTATCTACAGAATATTGCTGGAGGTTAGTCACAACCTGCTGCCAGTTCTACCTGTAGTGATAGGGTGGCATGCCATTATGTTCATGGCACTCAGATATCTCCTTAAATTGCTGGGTTTTTGAAATTTTGTATTTGTTATAATTTTTAAAATAAAAAGACTCTGTGGTGCGTTAGCCTGCATTGCATCCCCTCCCCCTTGCTCGTGGGAAGGGCCTTGTGGGGTACAAAAGGGGACTGTAGGTCCATGGCATGAGGAGAAGGTTGCTGGGCACAAGGCTCCTATGGTGGCTTGTGCAACTGCCCTGCAATGTCCCTCCTGCTGTCCTTGTCCAGATACCTGATAGGAGCCGAGGACCAGTTCAAAGTAGAGTCTTGCTTCAACGCCAATGTGTTCAGGGAACAGGGCAAACACCACATAGTGAACCCCGAAGAGGGGGATGAGAAGCAGTGTGGATTTTGTGAGTCGCCTAGGAAGAAGCAAAGCAGTAATCAGGGGCTGACTATACACTCAGCACTATATTTAGTCACAGGAGGAAAATGCTTCTCCTCCCCATGCACACTGGGGAACTTGTCCAAGCTGCTAGGAAAGCACAGAAATAAAATACTACCACTGTCCTTTCGACATGTAGCTGATGGAAGCAGTGCTCCATCTGCTGCAAGACAAGCATCACTTCCTGGCCACTTCCCCTGCAGCTGCAAAAGTGGCCCAAGGCTCCAGCTAGCAACACCCACCACCCAGGAATGGGACCCGGTTATCCCTTATTACCATTCTCTGTGCACAACTTCCAAAAGGCACACAGTCCCTAACAAATGGGCCCAATGGGCCCTGAACGGGTGTAATCTCTCACTGCCTGGTTCTGCCAGCCATCATGAGTGAAGGCCTGATACTAATGTCTGACCAGGGCTCTGATTCAGCAAGGTACAGAAGCTCCTGCCTGACTTGGCACACAGGAGTCATCCCACTGACAGCCATTCATTGGGATGTCAACAAATGGGAAATGAATGATCCTAGGGCTGAGGAACCTGCCTCCCAGGAAGAGACAAGCAGAACTCTGTCTGCCTAGTTTACCAGGAGAAAGGAAAAAAGTGGCATAGTCATGGTCTATCACTCAGCATGGAGCAAAGTTTTCATTGAGAACTGGATTCTTTAAAGTAGTGGGAAAAAGCAGAGCAAGATCCAATAGTGAAAAGCAGAAGTTGGACAAGTTCAGACTAGAAGAAGGTCCACATTTTTAACACCAAGGATAAGGGGTACTGAAACTTTCCTTGGCCAGGAGGTGGATTTTCTGTCACTTGGGGGTCTTTGAATCAGGATCAAATGTCTCTTACCAAAGGACAGAGGACAGCTCAATGGGCTGGATACAGGGATCACCCAGGTGAGATAAGCTTGAGTGAGGTTCTCTGGCCCCTACCATGCAGGAGGGTGAATGAGGTCATAATGTTCCCTTCTGACTTTAAAATCTATGGATGAAATTCCTCTGGGCCTCTGTACCTTGCTGAACCAGGGCTTTGGTGAGTCAGAGACATTAAAGGCGGAAGAGAGGGTGATAGTGGCAGAAATAAAGGACCTGGGGGGTTTGCATCTTCTTGATAGGTTTGATCCCATTTCTAGAGGGTCTTGTGCTTTCCCTGAAGCAAAGTTTTAAGGAGACAGCGGCAGGTGACAGAGAAGGCGAAAATGTTTTATTCCCATTTAAAAAAAAATTCTACCTATATCTTATTGACACAGCTGCAGCAAAGGTGATTAGAGCGTGACGCTCACTGTGGACGCAGCCCTTAGGGAGGACTCAAAAGTGCCTTTGCTAGACACAGAATCAATTGGGTTTGATTTAACAACATTACAGCTGGCGATGGCTGGAAAACTACATATTGAATGTGCGCTGGTGAGAATATTGTTATGATTACAGGTGCCATGTAGGGCTCTCAAACATTATTCATGTGAGGTGTACTATTTTGCAGGAATATTCCCTTGAACTCAATGGGACACCTCAAATGAACAGAGAAGGCAGGGTCAAGCCCTCTAGAAGAACCTAAGAGCCTTTTCCTTTGTGTGATACTCACCTGAGTGCAGGTAACTAAGTATGTGCTGGTGGGTTCGAGGTTGGTAAATAAATTAGGGTATGTAAGCTCCACAGACCCAACAGTACTGGAGTCCTTTATCTCTTTGTTTTTATTTACTTAAAAAGAATCAAATCCAAAAACATTAGCACAATTAAAATTGTTGAACAATTAAAATCTTGAAAGTCAGGAAACGCAAGAGTTAAAATCCCAGCAATAGCGTTAACCCCGTGTCACACACACATCTATTCCTCTTGAAAGTACAGTATCACATAAAATATACAAGCTGTGCCCTGGACCTGGGCAAGGGCCATTGTGGGAGCATTCATCTTGGAGCTCCTGATGTGCAGTGACTTTAACCATCCTTAAGATGGCACTTAGGGAAGTGCATTTAGACCTTACACTCTAAAGTCTCTGCTGTGCCCGTGATCCCCTTCACACTGGCAATTTATTGGTGGGAGAGGATGATGAGCTACAGCTCTTGATTCTCTTGGTTCTCTGGCATAAAACCCTAGTGTTAGGATAGCACCTTTCTTGAGTTATGACTACAGAGTATTTTATGTTTTGGTCAAAATGACTGGGCCTGAGGTATAGTTCAGTACAGCTCCACTGCAATCGATAATGATTTACCCAAGCTGAGGCACTGGTGATACAGTCTGCATTTCATAGGAGAAGAGACTGCACAAGCTCAACTCTTCTGCAAGCTTTGGGATGCCTGGATCATACACAAGCGTGACAAAAAGCCACTGTCCTAGGGACATACTAGCCTTTGGGATCAGGCTTGACTGTGGAGAGCTGGCCATGCCAGTCCAATCTGTGGGACATTGTAACAGGGTCCTCCCCAGGGGTGGCCACAAACCCTCTGGAGCCCCCTTAGCTCTTGTCACCTCTGCTCTCTTTGGGGTCATCTCTCTGTCAACTCACCTGCCACTCCCTTTTTGAAAAGGAAGGCTGCCCAAGGACTCCCCAAGCTAGATCTCATGCTCATGAGTAAAGGTACCCTTATTCATCACTTTAAGAGCTAATTACATGGCCTCCTCATCTCCCCTTTCACTACATCCAAGCCTCCCTAGTTCAGGCCTGCATTCTCCTCTATCCTTCCTGGGCTCAGGCCTCTGCCTCCTTCCACCCATGCCTGGGCACTTTTTCCATCTTGGTTACTTCCAGCCCTTGGTCCCTGACCCTGTTTCCACCTCTCAGAGGCACTGGGTCCCTGGCCCTGTCTGTACCCTCCTCTGGGCTGTGGGTCCCTGCCCCTGTCAGTCTCTGGTTGTGGTCCTCCTTGGCATTTGACCTCTCTGCTTGTGCCCTGGCCCTGCTTCCTAAGCCAGTTAAGACCTGACAGGCTATAGGTCCCCAACCCTGGCTCTTACCTCTCACAGGCTATGGGTCCCCAACCCTGGCTGTGGCCCTGCTCCTTGGCCTTGGCCCCTATCCCTCGGGCTCTGGCTCTGCTCCCATGCCAGTTGAGCCCTCCATTGACCCTACACTCTCAGCCCCTAAACTGCCAGTCTTGCTTACCTCAGCTCAGATATTAATCAGGAGCCTTATTGCAGCCTTGCTGCTCAGAAGCAATTCCCTCCACAGCTCTCAGGGCTAGACTGCCTGCTCAGCTCAAGCCCTGGGCTCAGATTCTTCTGACCCAATCACTTTTGGTCATGTGGCTCCCAACTGCCCCCCCTACCATATCTGCAGAATGCATCCCTTAAAGCAGCAGGAGCACCAAGCCTCCTGCTACAAGCATGTTGAGGTTTCAATCTTTCTTTTCATTCCAAATTGCAACAAAAACCAGATTTGAAATATTTTGTGAAAGAGAACACATGCCAAGCTGGCTAATAGTCTTGTGGTTACAGCACTCACCTGGGAAAGACTAATTTTCATGTCAGTGCTCTGCCTGATTTCGGGCATGGACTTGAACCTGGTCTCCTACATCCCAAACAAGATCTCTAGCTAGTGGGTGGCGGACCCAAATGCCCTCTCCCGCTCTCCTGGTGGAGATGTTCCACTTCCTATGAATAATGAGCTTGTCATTGGTGACAGAGATGGATTCCATAACTCTGTGCTCAGAATATTATTCACATGTGCTTGAAAGACCAAGGTTCAATCCCTTTGCTCTTCTTGATTCAGACCAGAGCCTGGAACCTGTGTCTTCCACATCCCTGATGAGTGCCCCAAGTACCAACCCACTGGCTAGTCTGGAGCCTCTCAATACATCTGGTTTTGTACAGAAATTCCATGCTAGACTCCAGAAACCTTCCCAGGCACAGCACCACCAAAACCTATGAAGGTTTCTGTGAAGAGTTCTGGTTTCAATGAATTTACAGCAGAAAAGCACAATCAGCCCATGTCTTCAGCGTGGGAAGTAATGACACTTCCTCAGGCCCCTAAGACATGAGCCTGACTGAGTCAAGATGGGTTTAACCAGCCTGCACAAAAGGAGACCACAGCACTAGGGCAGGGGGAATTGGCCCTTTACTCACATATACTGCTGCTTGTAGTTCTTGCCAATGTCGGGGGACCGAATCTTCTGCACTAGCATTCTGATCACATTCAGGAATATGAGAAAGTTCACCTTCAGAAGGGAAAGAAAACAATGTCTCAACTTCTGACAAGCCAATGTCATGCACCATCCCACACAGTAGCCTCTCCTGTCCCCTGCCAGGGTCAGAGCCCTTTAAACCCAGCCCTCTCTGAAGAACTGCAGGACTCAGAGTGGGTTTCTGTCCTGCTGTCCTTGCTCTACTTGCTGTGCCACCCATGCTGCTACAAAACAAAATACAATACAGCATACTCACAAATATAGCAAAGAGAATGGGTCCCTTGATCACCCACCAGTACAGACTGGCGTAATCATCCCAGCACCTAGGAGAGAGCAGGAGTCACCACAGCAGTGTTGCCAACTTGTATGGATTCATCCAGATGTGGGTACACCCTCACATGGGGAGCTGTCATGAACCACTCTACCTTCACCCAGTCACAGAACAGAATGGCAATGTTAATTCTCATATGGGACTGGGTCCCTCCAGCATTGCTTCTGAGCCTTTCCTGCCAGGGTCCTGTTTGAATCCAGCCTAGCAGTTGAATTAACAGTGGTTCCCATCTGATGGCTGTTTCATGGCACCTGTATGAGCTGAGCTTAATGAATTTTCTATCCCAGCTCACAGGCTGCAAACACCTCGCCATGCTTTGCACAAGACTATAAGCTCTCGGGGAACACGTTTTTGTTTGTGTGTGCGTGCAAACATATGAGTGTGCACATGCACGTGCACACAGTGCCTAATCCAATGGGATCCCAATCTTAGTTACCTTCAATAATGAGAGATTGAACTCTCCAGCAGAAGCAAACCGAAGTTGTCTCTCTCCTGACCATTTTACAAGAACTAGCATCCATATGCAAAATGGGTCTAGGAGTGCAGAGGGCTTAAAAGTCACAGTACAGACCAAAAACTGCCAAGTATTGTATTTCCTTTAAACAAAATGTCATGATTTGGGGACAATCTTATAGATTCTTTTAAACAGCGTTAGACTTCATGTTTCAAGGTTGGGGTTGGTGACACTTGAAAAGGTCCCTGGTAATCCAGTCCCAGGAAGAAGGGACATTGAAGGTACAAGGAAATGAAATGTGTGATGGGTGCTCTCTAAATTGTAGAGCAGGGGGGAAGGAAGGGCCTGAACAATCAGGGGAAGAACATGGATCTGGGCAGCATTTCTGTGAACTGGTGACTGAACGTGGCCTAGATTGGCAGGTGGATTGGGCAACGGGCATGATGGTCACACATCTACCACTCTGGAAGTCACACTGCTAGTCTTCCCCTGTGGAAGCAGAAGCTCTCATAGAGAAAGGCAGCTCAGTCCACAGGGAAAGGCCATTGCTGACCTGTCAGGGAGCCCTGGCCATTATCAGCACTCCTTAGCCCTTCTCAAGCATCCCCTATTCTCAAATTATGGAGAAAATAGTAAATCATACCTCCTCCACCCAGCTTCCTAGCAATGTAAACCAGTGTCATCCCTGTTTTGCAGTCAGGAGAGATGCACAGCTGGATTCTCCAGATCACAGCAATTTGTTGACACTGCTCTGGCACTTACGTTCACTTGCACCTTTCACCCCTTCTTGTGACCCTTGTGTGAATGGGAATCTGGCCCAGTGCATTTCAGCAAGTGCCTGTGTGCCCTCATGACAAGAGGCTTTTCTTTGCCAAGTTACAGCCTTTGGTTGTGTCCCCCAAGCAGTAGGGGCGGAGGGGTATTGACATAGGTCTCTATCCTCAGGAGTTTTGTGATGCTCATCCTGGACTACTTGAATCCCCAAGGACCTGTGTTCACTTGGGACTTCCCTGGTTCAGACTGGCCATAAAGGGGAGACACTTACCCATTGTTGTCATATTGCAGCCGGGTAATGATCCACACACTCAC